CAAGTGAGATTATTCTTCCCTTTTATTAAATAAAGGATTAACTCTTCATTTGCTGTAAAATGCAGGCATGTCTCCTGTGCAATAAATCCATTATTTTTCCCCCAGCTTTACAGGAGGCAGTCTACTGTGCGCATATACAGCCAAGAAGAAGGAAGTACTCTGTTTACTGAGACCTTACAATAATGTTACAGACTAAGTTTCTCCCACCACTGTAAAAGTTTAAACCTGAGCAAACTTTAAAGCTTAGGTTGGAGAATAATTTTTGTCTGGTAGAGAACTCTATCGGGGAGGCTCAAGGTTGAATGTTCTTTCATAAGAGAAATTGTGAGCCACAGGGAAGATAATTCATGGTGATATACTTGATAAGAATAATTTCTTCATTCCTCTGGCTGAAGAATGAAAGTCTGAGTGCTTTACATTCAAGTGTCAGGTTGCTCTTGGACTGAAAATTCCAGTAATGTTAATGGGGTCTGTTCTCCATTTAAATGTGTTCTAGAAAACCCGTCATGTTGAGGAAAAAAAGAAGAATCAAAGTAAAGGAAGACTTGGCGGCAAAAAATGGAAAAATAGCATTACTCGTATGTGTTTGTAAAATAGTCTTAGAAAACCTAATTCTTCCATTCTTTGTACTTGCTCCTGAGCCAAGACTCAAGAGGTTTTCCCCTGTTGCAAACTTTTCACATTGGAAGCTCAGAAAATGAGTGTTTCACTGGGACTGACAGGACTGAGTTTAGCTGTGACTTAGGGACAACTTGATGTGGAGGCTGTGGACAAAGGCTGCTCCTTGTGTCTTTTCTAGGGAGGATAGTTGCATTGGAGGCAGTGAGCCCAAAGACCATTGTATTGCTGTTTGGTTTCCTTTGCGCAGAGGCAGAATATCATCTGACTTTGTGCTGGTGGAGCTTGCTGCAGTGGATGTGGCTGTGTTCCCATTATCAAGGCGTTTGGGCTCTGGTGACCGCCTACCTGCGCTGCAGTGGGACTCCAGGCTTTCCTAGAAGGAGTGGGTGGATGAGAGAAGTGGTGCCATGTACTTTGTTTTGTGTCTGTGCTGCACAGAGTGAGTGCTGAACTTGGCTGTGTGGTCTCTTTTGTCACTTTAATTGTGTGTGGGGAGAAGAAAAAGAAGCAGAGATGGGTACTTCTGCAGCATGTTGAACTTCAGGTTGCCAGAGCATGTCATATAAATGCCAAGCTAGCTCTCTTAGCTTTTCTTCTGGAAAACCATATGTGGGGGTTGAGTGGGTTTGAAATCCTTTTTGGGTTTTTTTTTTTTTTTTTTTAAGTATTTTCATGTTTAATGAGGCTTGGAGCAACCTGGCATAGCTGAATGTGTCCCTGCCCATTGCTGAGTGATTGGAACTGGATGATTTCTAAGGTCCCTTCCAACCAAAACCATTTTGCGATTGTGTGATTTTCATTCCCTGGGTTTAGGTATATTTATTTCAGGTCTGCTGCTGCCCTGAATTTTCAATGTGCCTAGTGTTTTTTCCTCTGACTCCAGGACTCAACCATCAAAAAAGAAGAGCACTTTCACCTGTGAGCAGAGGCTCTACATGGGCATGCTTTGGGGTGCCTTGTTAGATTTGCAGCTTTGCTGTGGGTCCTAGGTTGAACAAGGATATTACAAAATGTCCCTGTTCAACCTAGGACCCACAGATGGGGCTGTGTGTTAGGGGGAAACACATAAACTGATTTTCAGCTTTACCTGCCTATGCATGTGGTCAAGTTGGTTGTGGATGTGAGATGCAGCAGCCATGTCTGGCATGAAAAACACTCTCAGCATGACTGCAGCTTGAGCTTCTAAGGCCAGCCTCAAAAACCTGGGGTTTTTAGTAGTTCTCTTTTGTCATTAACTATGTGTTTAGTGCTGAGTGTATTAATTATTAGTCTGAGTACGTTAAATCAATCAGATCTGTGAAGGACAAGGGCAGGGAGTGGATGTCACTTATGCCACTATGAAACATCTGCCTTGTAAAAAGAAAAATTAAACAACTAGCGAAGTACAGGGCACACATTTTTGCACTGCTTTTGCAATTGCCTTTTAACATTCCCCCACTTATGTATTTTTTTTCCAGGAGTTTTATGCTGCTGTTGTGTGGGTTTGAAGCAGTGCCAGGGAGACAGCTCTCTATATGTCTCTGCCGCTGTGTGCTTGTGCCTTAAATAGTTGAGTGCAATTCAGTGTGGTGGTAAGAAAATGAGCAGTTAATGTTGTTCAAGTGTTAATTGTGCCAGAGTGTGTTTTCAGTGCCTCAACCCAGCAATAGTAAGAACAGTTAATTAATGCTTTTGTGCGATTTCTTTGAGCGGGTAGCAGGAGTCTGCTTGGGGACAGGCTGTAGAGTCGCTCATGATTGTATGTTGTCCTTAGTTTTCCTTCCATCTGAAAAATCATGAGAAAACCAGTGTATGTGGAAAGTCTTGTTAGTAACTCCCCTCAGACACAGTGGAAATCAAGTGGTCCTTGATTTCTTTTTGGCCCCTGACACTGTTGAAGTCAATGGCACTGGCAACCACTGTAGGGAATCAGGGTGAAATAACCTTGTTCTCCATCCATGCAGTGGCAGCAGGAATGAAAGACCTCAGTATAAGAATAAAAGATGTGTATGCCTGTTTTTTTTCTGTAGATCTGCATAGGTAAGGTACACCCTGTGCTGTCATCAGTACTTCAATTCTGTGGACTGGTACAGGCATGTACAGTACATTTTACAGAGATGTAAAATTGTCTGTAACTGGGAAAAATTAAAAAAAATTCTACCAGTACTTTATGAAGACAGTTTTGCAGTGGTATGTTGTGTAACTGAAGGGATAATCAGACACTCTAATTAGACCCTTTCTTTTAATATTGTTCAACGATCTAAATCCTCCAAGCTTCTCATGGAACCTGTCTGAAAAATATGGTACCCCAATGTAAGCTGAATAATTATTGAAATTCAAAAGCATTAAGTCTTAAATTAGCAGAGGGAAAATAGGTGTTTGTGACACATACAATGGAAGCACCGTTCAGAAGGTCACCAAAACCCATCCATGTTTGGAATTATAAGAGAGGCACTGGATATGGCACTGAGTGTTAATAACACATATGAGCTATGCAGGATAAGGGTAATCAACGCTTCAGGTCACTCAGATCAGCTGGTCACAAATATATTATCTCCTCTAGAAGCTTCTCTCTCCCTGCTTTACAATATTATGCTGTTGTTTGAATGCATTACAAAAGATTTTGCATGTTTGGAAATGTAAATTACAGCCTTCTCTGCTGCCAGAGGTACTGTATACCATCAGCCAGGGGAATCAGTGAGAAGCCATGCATTTGGGGATCTGTCACATTGCCTTCTTGCTTTTGCCAGGGACATGTAATGCTTTTCTGAATACCTTACTTAACTGTGACCAGCCACAGCCCAGGATAGGGAGAACAAGTGGTGTGTGGGTTTCTCCGACTGCTGTGTCTGGAGCCTTTTAATCTTGCTGGCTCCTTCCCTTGCTAAACCAGATTGCACTCAAATGCATTGTCTCTGCTCCCTAGAGCCCTGACAGCCACATGTTGGAAACATTTGCCTTTAACCTTAACCTGTTATGAGGTAGAAAGGAGCCTGAATCAAAGCCCAGGTAAAAAGGCTGTTGGAAACACTCGTTGTGGGAGCTGCAGTTGGCTCCAGCTGTATGCCTCTCTGGACAGGGACGTGTAGATCCACATGTCTAGCCAGAGCATTTGCAGCCCTGCCCTGAAATTGTTCTTCCTCCAAGCCTGCAATTTCCCATCCAAATGAGCAAGACTTTTGAATGCAAAGAGTTGTGCAATGCCAGCACCAGAGGACACTTGGCAGGTGTCTCGGCCTGGAGGGGGCTGGAGTGAACTCTGGGCAACAAAACCAAAGCATGTGTGCACACCTTCGCATTCCTGTCTCACTTCTCCAAACAGAGATCTCTCAGCTGTCAAAGCCATCCTGGTTTGCTGGCAAGTTCTCAGTTCTCCCTCTGTTATTTCATGGGGCCTGTCTTGTCTTACACCTTCGGGCAAGAGGCCCCATGGAGCCAGCAAACTGCAGGGCTGGGGGTGCAGAGGCTGCTGGGTCCCCACCAAGCTGGAAGAAGTCAAAGCCTGAGCCACAGCTGCAGGAGGCTTTTGGATGAGGACCCCCAAACTTTCTTGCAGGAGGTTGTTAGGTACAGAAACTAGTACTGAGTATTCAGGAATTAATAAGTGCACTTCATTTATTTATTCCACCTGAAAGGGGCTTTGTCCAGTCTCTTCAGCAGCATTATGATGCACGGTGAATAATTCACACTAAAATATCCAATACGTTCTGGGGTTGGGCTTTAAAAATAGCGCTTACATATTTTTGTCTCGTTAACACTGTGAATCTTTGGGTTCTTATTTATAAGTGCTACAATGTTTCCAGTGCTTTTTTCCAACTCTTACTAAAGTGTGTTTCTCCAAGACAAAGGACAGGACTCTACGAGCATCCACGGACATGCTTCATTTGACTCTCCTAAGTTGTTTTTTTTTCCCACGTCATAAGTTAATATTCTCCTATTTTAGGTAGGGATCTCTGTTTTACAGGATTTTGGCAAAACGTATGAAGATGTATATTATATAAAGTTTCTCCGTGGAATTTTTATTGTGTACATAAAGTTGTATCAATCATATTTCACTTAATGGATATTTCATTTTGCTCTATGAAACTAGTCCAAGGTTGCTGCTGACAAGGTAGAGTCCAGGGGGCTCATTACATCCCAAGTGTTGGGCTTTTTTTTTTTCTTCTGCCAGATTTTTCTCAAGTTAAAATTTATCTGTATTTTGTTCAGCTTGTCTGCTTATTATCCAATGTATATATCAGAGGAAAGGTTTATATATATATATAAATGTTCACATACCAAAGTAAATTAATAAATCTTCCTTTTTTTATGAAAGAGGTAAAGAAAAGTACCTGGCCAATACAGTACCATTAATCTATTCTCTTTTCTCCTTTCTCTCTTTACCTCTCTCTCTACAATAGAAGTGGAACAAAAAGGTAATTAAATACCTTTCAAATTATATATATATATTACTTATGTATAGGCTAAGTTATTTAACAGTTTAACGTTTTAGTTGAAATACTTTGTCATTAATTCTCACTACCTTTTTGTTAAAGTTTATTTAGTATCTCTGCTGCTCAACTTCACCAGATAACTCACGTTTGCTGAAAAGTTTTTAACTGGTGCCACCTTTTCTCTTCCATTAAATTTATATTCAAAGGCTTAGAGAACTCATTTTCCTGCCCCAAAGAATTTGGAAGGTGTGCATACATATGTATGTGCATAAGTATATCTAATTATGGCATAAAAGCCTCTTGGAAATGGCCCCCTTTTTTCAGCAACTCTGCGTGGTTACTTAGACTCCAATGGATCTATATAATTTTATACTGGCTATTAAATCTGATTTTCCTCCTGTCTTGCTCTCCAGACAACATTACCAATTTCTGCATTTACAAAAAATAATCAATTATGCTCTGAGCAGGAAGTGTGAATGTGGGATCCCATCCTGCCAGCCCCGTGCTGCCGGAAGTGCGCGGTGGGATGCTTCCTCATGCCTCCCTGCCGCCCATCCCATCGCCACGGTCACTGTGCGGAGATCAGCGTTCCAAATAACCAACCAGTATTCTCCCCCCGAAGGGTGTGCAGCGCCTCCAGGCCAGGAGGGTGCTGGTGGGCATGGCCAGGGCCAGGTTTGCTCCGCAGCATCCCTCCTCTTGCCTCCCCATCTGTCCATCCAGCCGGCTGGCCCCTGGCTGGTGGTGTTCCCGTGGGGCCGAGGCCAGCCGGGCAGTGGCTGAGCCTCTTCCCAGGTCCTGGGTGTGCCCTGGCCCCTGACAGCCCCCCTGTCCCGAAGTCTGAGCAGCAAAGCATCCCAGTTAGTCAAACTGCTCCTCTGTGCTCCTCTCATGTAACAATAGAAGGTATATGTTTTTAAGTTTGAATTACTACTATATTTAACAGGACATTTTTTAACTGATTAAAATCTAGACATTGGGTTCCTCTCCAGCAAACTTTATTCCTTTCCTTCCTTCTTTCCTTTCTTCCTTTCTTCCTTGTCTTTTCCTTTCAGCATCCATATGTCATTCGTTTTTAATTGTGTGGACTGCATGTTTCATGTGTCCTGTAGCAGCTTGGAAAGTCTCATTCCTAGTTATACTCCAGATGGGTGTTCCCCCTCCCACTCCCTTTGCTTTAAATGCTCCTCCGAGTTGCTAAGGGATTCACCTCTGCTTTGCTATTGGTATCCTTTAAATATTTAATATCACTTGGGCTGTAAGGATGGGAATTTCTTTCTCTTATTTCCATTTCTAGGCCACTCTTCTGTGGGCTGTTCAAATAAATATCTGGATCAATTCCCTCGGAGTTTAGCCCTTCACCTAGTAGGTACAGATTCACTGCAGAATATAATTTGGAAACACAAACCCAGAAATCCTTTGGGGGCACATATTCATTTCAGAGTTTACAAAAGCGAGTGGTCCAAGTAAGTATACCTGTAAAAATAGATTTGAAAAGCAATAAGAAAACTAGCCACAGCTGATAGAAAAAGCAGGGGGGGAAAAAAACCCAGTTTGATGGAGCAGATTTTGTTCCAGAGATATGGTGGGCAGGAAGGATAGTCTCCAGCTCCAAGGCATTGCTCTTGGGTTTCCTCTCATCACAAGTGTCCTCTGCTCCGGGACTAGAAGCTGTTGAGATGCTTGGGCCAGCCACCCCTGAACTGCCATTAACTCGTGTTTTTCTTTCAAATTCTTTTCCCCTACGACAGTTTTTCTTTGCCCTGGACTGCTGAAGGGAGTTTACCAGAGCGAACACTTATTCGAGTCTGACCACCAGTCGGGCGCCTGGTGCAAGGACCCTCTGCAGGCCTCTGACAAGATCTACTACATGCCCTGGACGCCGTACCGGACGGACACGCTGACGGAGTACTCCTCCAAGGACGACTTCATCGCCGGCAGGCCGACCACCACCTACAAGCTCCCGCACCGTGTGGACGGCACGGGGTTCGTGGTGTATGATGGGGCTCTGTTCTTCAACAAGGAGCGGACCAGGAACATCGTCAAGTTCGACCTGCGGACCCGGATAAAGAGCGGGGAGGCGATCATCGCCAACGCCAACTACCACGACACCTCTCCCTACCGCTGGGGCGGCAAGTCCGACATCGACCTGGCCGTGGACGAGAACGGGCTCTGGGTAATCTATGCAACAGAACAGAATAATGGCAAAATTGTCATTAGCCAGTTGAACCCTTACACGTTGAGGATCGAAGGGACGTGGGATACTGCCTATGACAAGAGGTCAGCTTCCAATGCCTTCATGATCTGTGGGATTTTATATGTAGTGAAGTCTGTGTACGAAGATGACGACAATGAAGCCACAGGGAATAAAATAGACTACATATATAACACTGACCAAAGCAAGGATAGCATGGTGGATGTGCCCTTTCCAAACTCCTACCAGTACATTGCTGCTGTGGATTATAATCCCCGGGACAACCTCCTCTATGTATGGAACAATTATCACGTTGTAAAATACTCCTTGGATTTTGGCCCGCTGGACAGCAGAGCAGGTAAGGGGTTTAATACCAAACCAAAAATCTTTCTGGTTTTTTTTTTTCTAATATTTATTTTAGTGAAAAGCTGAAGTACACATCTGTCTTACTGATCTGGTTGAGTTTCTGCATATAAAGCCCCACCACAGATGTATAATGGCTATTAAGACATTAACATGTGCAGATTTTTTTTTTTGGTCTTAGTTGAAATGAATGAAAGAGTATCTACACATAGTAGCCTGAAAGAGTTTCCAAATGCCCAGGCGTTTGGTCACAGGGGTAGCAGTCTTTTATTCAGAATCGAATTTCTTTCTTACATGATCAGATCATTTTCCCTTCTGCAGGAATTTTGACAAAACAAAGCGTAGAAGATGTTGTTGTTGCAAACAGCTGGAGGAAAACTGCCTGCCAGTTTAAATTACTTTGTTTCATTAAGCTGGGGGAGTTTTGTCTTTTTGGAGAAGCTCAGACTAATACAATCTGTGAGCATGCACCCACAAGTATGGAGCCAGGAGGAGAATCCACAAAATCCTCTAAATTCTTGCTTTACTTTCTGTAAAGTTTCTCTTTATTTTTTAAAGCATTTCATGACTTACTGTGACTTACTATACTTTATCTTAGGGGATCATCAGGCCCCCAGAGGTTTCCCAGCTTCTCCGCCTTTTTTCCTGTTAGAAACGTGCTGGTAGTTACTTTAGGTATATTCCCTTATATATAAGGGAATTCCATCATCATTTTGCATTTATAAAGTTGCCACTTTACTAATAACAAACTTAGCCTGCGCTGCGGTCAACCTTGCATGATTTGCAAGAGTTTCCAAACAGGATTTGCTCAGTGGTTTTAAATGATTGTTACTGTACTGATGAAGTCATAGTATCAGGTATTTCTTCCAGCCTTTGAAAGGCTGGAAAAGTAGGAAAAAAGGCAGAATTAATATAATTTGGACAGTAAAGTATTTAACTAATAACATGGCTTTTTCTGAAACATTTCCTTTTGTAAGTAAGAAACTTGAAAGTGGATGAGGAGATTCAGGGCTTTAGATTGCAAAAGAGAAGTGAAAAGATTTCTGTTGATGAGATTTTCTTTTCCTGTGTGCAGCTTGTTACCCATATAAAATGAAAGTGGATCAAGAGATGCTGAAAGAAATTGTGGGTATGAAAATCTGGGGAGGGCTGGAATAAAAGTAGTAAACTAGCAGTGAAATTGTGATTTTTTTATAAAAATGTAATGAAGGGGAGAAGAAAAACTTGAAGAAGCAGATGAGCAAGAACTGAGTGACTGTTAAGGAGTAGAGATATTTTCAATGATGTTGACCTCTGCAAGATGTCAGATGAGTAAAAAATAAAGTAATAATTCTCCTTCTCCTGACTTAATGACAAGCATGTACTTTCTGGGTGGTGGAGTGAAGCAGAGCAATTTGTGAGCTATTGGTTATTCCCAAGGAGTGGAAATCAATTGCATCCCTTCCATTTCACAGAGTTTCTCTCATTTTTGGTGAATTATTTCCAGGTATTATAACAGACTCTTTGCTGGTGCTTGTTCATGTGGTAACCATTGTCAGTAATAGCATCCTTGATGCAAAAAAAAAAAAAAAGCTTTAATCAGTGAAAAACCTAAAATAGGGGAAAAAGGAAAATTTTCTCCCTTTTTTTGCAGTGTAAGATGATAAAATCAGTGAATAGGTGAAAACCTTGTAGGGGGCTGAAAGTGTGTCAGGTGTTGGTCTATCTGTGAGGATTTGGTTTATCTTTGTGCCACTTTGGTTTGAAGCCCCTCACTCTGGTTTGGATGAGAATTTAGAATCCCCCAGTGCCTCAGACAGGAAGGTGAAGCAGTTTTTAGCTTTGGATGGTGGGCATGAGAGAGTTAATCAGGTGTCAGGGAATCTGGTGAGCCTTCTCTGACATTCCCTGTGTGCAAATTTTGTACAAAGCTTTGTCATATGGATAAAAGGCTGAATTTTACCTGTGGTTTTCTTCTCTGAGAATTATCAGGATTTCCTTTCTGGCAAAACTGCATAAGGATCCCATTACCTCACTATTTTACAAGTTTAGAGGACTTTGGAGAGGTCTGCTCTGACAGCAGCTGAATTTTTTGATGAGAAAACTTGAATGGGCCAAGACATTTCAAAGAGAAGAGAAAAAACTTCCCTAAGGGAGTTTACTGCTCCCTTACCCACATAGCCTGATCAGTGGGAACAAGTTTTGATGAATCAGTGAGACAGAAGCACTGATTTTGAGTTGGACAGGTGAGCAAATAGTTGCTTGACATCAGGCTTTTTTGCAGAGAGGAGCAAGGAGACCAGGTCTGCATGGTGCTTTCTCTTCAAAGTTCAGTGCAACCCATTTTTGGGTGAGCACCAAATTTCATGCTGCATTGCTTTACACATAACACTAAATATCTGGTTGGTATAAACCCAGCCCCTCCACCAAAGAGGAAGAACTGAAGCTGATACAACCCTGGGAAAGCAGTGAAGAATCAGAATATTTTTGTTTGGGTTTTTTTAGATTTTTTTTTTAATGGAGTGGACTGTGGGTATGTGTCTCTTCTCTTCAAAAATCACCAGTGTTTCTTTGTACTAGAGCCATGTTCAATGCAGGCATTTTTCCATGGTGTTACAATTTGAGTAGCAAAATTTGTAAACAATATCAGCTTAATTAGAAAATAAAAGAAGGATTGTAAAATTGATGGGTTGAACATATGGGTTGTTAAAAAACAATTAAGGGTGAAGTTTTAGAAGAGCTCTTAAAACCAAAAATTGATCATAACAAGAAAAGTGAAATACTTAACTACTTAAATAGCCAGTAGCCTATTGGAAATCACTTGCATCATACATTTCAGGAATATCTGAAATAAAATACAGGTTTTGGGGACTGCAGTTCACCTAGAATCAAGCATTTTCAGTCTTTTTCCAAACTGTTCTGCGAAACTGGGAGTTGACAGGAGTTGCTTCACTTATAGTAAAGGCGGGGCTCACATCCTCTTGCTGTTCACAGTGTCTTAGCATTTTCTGTGATTTTTAATTAAAGATCTGTGCATGTAGGTTTGGAACATACTTGAGACCTTCACTGTTGCAGAGCCTCTCTCACTTACTATTTTAAAAAATGGGCTTTTACTCCTTGGGGAGAGTAAATGTCAAATCCTGGAGTTTCTGTGCTCAACTTCTGCAGCAGTTGAAGTTACCGGAGAAAACAAAATATTTTGAAGTGCTAAAAGCTGAGTTTAGCTGATCTTGAAGCAATTCAAGGCTCTTGATGGAATTAAACCCAACTATTCGTTTTTCTCAGAAATGAGAAAAGCTGCATTTTAAGATTTTACCCCACTCTTTTTTTTTTTCTCCCCTTTTGTCTGGGGTGGTTTTCTTTTATCCCAAAAGTGGTTTTGAAAGCAAACAGGCTTCAGTGCCTGCAAGTCCCAAGAAACCTATCATTAATGTCTGCCCTCAAGAAGTGAACTTGAAGATACCAAAAGCCTTTGAAGTGTATTTTCTTTGAGCTGTTTGGCCTCAAAATGAGCTTTTTGGAGGATGCTTCTTCATAAATGCTCCTGAGGTTTTGGGTTATTTCTTTGTAGCTTCTCTTGAGTTTGTGAATGTGAAGTGTTAGTAAGAACAGCTCTGCATCTCTTCTCAGTCTTCAAGAAGTTAAACCCAGAACAGTATTCAGGTTATTTTTTATGTGTCCTACTAGACTTACACAGAGAGGGAAACAGAAGGCTGTAGTGACAGGATGAAAATTTTCTGCAGCCTAATCAGTTGACATTCACCAGAGTTACCTGTTTTAATTATCACTCACTTACGATACCTTCTGTGCAAATAAACTCAAGAAAATACCAACAAGCCTTTCTCTCCAAAAAGGTGAAGTGCTCGCATCCTGCTTCCCAGTGCTGTGGTGCATGCAAGCACACATCTCCCAGTTCTGTGCCTCAGCACCTCCCTGGGCAGGCACAGCTCTTGCCTGGACACCAGCCAGGGGTTCCTGGGCATCACAGAGACCACAAGTTCTGTCTTTTAAATTCATTAGGTGCCCAAGTGCTGGCAGCTCTTGCCAGAGCTCGGGACATGCTGGCTGAGCATTTGGGTGCTTAGGTGGGCACTGTAGCTCACCCCATAATAGAGAAGTACAGGGAAGAACTTGAACCAAGTTAAAGATCCCTTTGTGCATATTTTGGCCTTGGATGTCCCAGCAGCCATTCCCAGTGACGTGGGACACACAGACCGTCTATTTTCGAGAAGATATTTTGAATTTTGTCCAGGAAACCCAAGTATTACCATATGGGCTGTTCCATGGACGTGTGAAGTTAATAAATAAATATGCCCAGTACATAAGGAAGATGCTGATATGATCTGTAGGACTTCTAATAATGCCTAAATGTGCTTAAGTGTCTTCTGCACATTTCATATTAACACTGTGGACTGCCATTCTGGTAATCAAATGTGATACAGAAATTACATGGATATCTCTGATATTTTAAGAATCCCAGAGGGTGCATGTCACACTTTTATCTTCCACATTTTGTCAAGTATTGTGGGATGCTCTCTTGACGTGTGGTTGCGAGTATTTTATTCAGTCAGAATGTTTGGGTTGTTCTGTGCTTTTTCTTCCTGAAGCAGTTTCACAATGCAGATAAGGTGAACACTCTGTCCTTATGATATGCTAATTAAGTGCATTTGTGTCTTGGGTAAAAGATGTGGCAGTATGGTGATGAATAAGGACTTTAAACACATATGACACCTCGTTAAAATGTAATTTTCACATCATAAATCTGAGGCCTTTCCTTTGACAGCTGAGTAATGTGGGCAGTGGGCAGAGGAGCTTGAACATTTCAAGGCTGCCATGTGCTCACACGTGGCTGGAGCTGCTTCCTGCGCTGCTCACCTCCGACGCCCGGCTTTCCTGTCCAGGAATGCACCAAAAGGGCTGCAGGATCTTAAATCCCACTTGTGCACAGGATATGAGCTGCTGTCGCTTCCAGAACCCCTTGTGATAAGCCACCTTTGCTATCTGTGAAGTTGAATC